TACTTAGAGACTCAAAGGTAGTTAACTTAATACAAAAAAAAAACTTTTAGATATAGAACGATTATGACTAACAAATTATCAATTCATCATTGATTGGCTGAAGATCATGTGATATTAATCTGATATTTGTTTATAGTCACACCTCTATGCAATCACCACATTAGGGCATGATGAACTTGGTGATTATATAGAGGTCTGACTGTATTTCTTTTAAGCACATATTTTCACAAGGCATTTTAGCTGATATAATTTTATTAATTTGGTCTATTGGAAGTTCAGGGTGTACACGCATAATAACATGAGCGTGGGGAAGCCCACATTTTTGAAACTCTATTACATTAACTATATAAGCTATTTTTTCAAAATGTTCACGTAACAGATCTTTTAATTTTCCAAAATGCGAGTGGAATATACGCGTGACTATTGTTGTCAATTCTGATATATTTTGTCCAGGTCTTAATAATTATTTAATTTCTTTCCAATTTGGATTAGTTGTCATTGTTATAAAAAAGCTCAGCTTTCCTCTGCAACAAGCAAGTGCAAGGGCATTGGCAACGCGAGTAGAACACCACCTTTTTGATCCTAAGAATGAGGCGGGAAGGTGTAGATTTTTTTTTTTATCTCTATCATCTTTATCTTCAAAATCGTCTTCAATAATTGCAGTAGTTGATCTCTGAGCTTGTTAAGTCGATTTTTTTTTATTTAAAATATAATTTAATCTTTCTTCTTCAACACATGAGTACATGTCCACTAAATATTCAGATGTCAACCTTCTAAATATTAAAAACCGCTGCTCATGTAATAAATGACATCGATACCAATCAATCTGTGACAAATTATAGCAATTATTGGGATGCCACCCTGGTGTTCTATGAGGAAAAAGTAGTAGATATTGGAGTGGCTCATATTGAGAGCTAAGAATATTTATAAATTTAGATAAAGAATCTGAGTGGTGCCAAATAATAATGCTTCGTGGCGATATATTAACAGTATTATTTGTATATATTATTGTAGCGATCTCACCAGTAGAAGTGTTTTCACATAGTTTGAGTGATGCAGTATGAGATGAATTATCTCGAAGTATCTGTAAAGAATGAACATAAGGATTAATAAGTATTAATATAGATTGAACTGCTAACATCCATTGATTAGATATTCCACGATTTTGAGCAGCAAAATATTATTCCTCTTCATCATAGATATACCAGTGTATCGAGTGGTTAGAGATGTTTGCTAGGAGAATATGATGGTAAGTACATCCAGTAATGCAAACCGAGGATGGCGGAGAAAGATATATGAATTGACCTTGTATGCCAATTGCCATGAAAGAAAAGAGTGCATTAGGTTTTCAAGAAAGAGTGTTAATATTGCGATCATTGAGAATATTATCCATATCCATTGGATAAGCTGGTAATGAAGATAAGATATGCTTGCCACGATTACAACAAAATTCTATTGGTTCACCTGTAAGAAGTGTAACCAAGCAATGAGAGCACTTTCTATTCCAGATAAAGCTTAATGGCTTTAAAGCAGTTCTACCCAAAGTGCATAATACATCCCACCAAGATTTATTTTCACATTTAGATTGGTTTTGGTAAACATTTGTATTCGTATCCTGTCTAGCTCTATACTGACATTTGTATGTAGTATTTTTTCATTTCTGATTAATAAGTGTTTTATTATCATTAAGTTTAGTACGTTGTTTCATTCGATATTGTTGTTTATATTCAGTATTCCATGGTTTTTGCCTTGTTTGAGGTCTTGATTGTTTTAAAATATTTTTTTGATTTCCTCGTGAACACAGCGAAGGTTTTTTTTTTTTAATTTTAATATTATATAAATTTACTCAAATAAATAAATATCGCACATTGATGGATTAAGTAGATTATACTTTAATTAATCGTTTCACTTTATATATAATATTTCACAATAATAAGAATTTTTTTTGTATAAAAGGATATATCTGTGAAAGTTCATA